CACCATTCACTTGGGTATAGGTGCCACCAACCATTCACTTGGGTGTAGGTGCCACCATTCACTTGGGTATAGGTGCCACCATTCACTTGGGTATAAGTGCCACCATTCACTTGGGTGTAGGCATCACCTCTCTCACTAAAGCCAGGGAGCGTTCGTTGTTACTATGTACATTGTGAAACAATCAGCCCAAGGCTTACCAGCACCCAGTTTACCTAGCTCCGAACCCCTGGAGCTCTGGACCTGGAGCCTCCTGGTTCCGGCTCCTCCTTCGGTTCCGTTGTCTGCCCTACCCAGGCTGGAATGCTCTCTGTCTGGGTCCGGCACCTGTGACTGTAGATACACCTGCACTGGACCCAAGGTGCAGCCAGTAACAACGATGCTGTCTGCAGGCAGCCAGCCCAGCTGGCCTGTTCTCAGGCATCTGGGGAGAGAAGGGGTGGAGGCCCAGAGGTCAGGCCTTAAGTGGCTAAAGAGCCCCACTTCTGCCCACAGTGAGGTGAAGCTCTCTGTTGTCACCTACTTGACCAACTCCATCGTGGACGAGATCCTGCAGGAGCTGTATCACTCCCACAAGAGCCTGGTAAACATCCTGAGCCCAGGCGGACTCAGGCCTGCCCTCTGCCCTGAGCCGCCCTGTCTGTCCGGGATCAGGGGAGTGAGCAGCTTCCTCAGGGTCCTGTCAACGCTTGTCCTTCCTCAGGCCCGGCACCTGACCCAGCTAAGGACACTGTCAGATCCACCCGGAGGGGCGAGCCAGGGGCAAGATCCATCTTCTCGGGGCAGAGGCAGGAACCACGACCATGAGGAAACAGACGATGAACTTGGGACCAACATCGTGAGCCCCACACACACCCACCCACTGCCCTTTTACCTGAATCCCTCACCCCCTCCCCCCCACCCCCCCACCCCACACACCCACTGCCCTTTCACCCGAATCCTCTCCTTGAACCTGCTCAGTGTCGCCCCCTCGCGTCTCCGAACTCCACCTCTCTAGGCCCAGCCTCTCCTCCTCCCTCGTTCCAGATCCCCAGCCACCCGAGGCAGGCAGGGTGGACTCTAAAGCAGAGGCTTTGAGGGAAGGGCTGAGAGAGTCCAGGCGAGGGTTTGGCCCACTCTTTGTCTCCATTTCTGCAGGACACCATGGCCATCAAAAAGCAGAAACGCTGCCGGAAGATCCGGCCAGTGTCCGCCTTCATCAGTGAGTCTACAGCTTCAGGCTGACGTGCCATGGTTCTCAACCTGCGGATAACGACCCCGGGAGGGAGGGGGGGGGCGGGTCAAACGACCCTTTCAAGGGGTCACCTAAGACCATCTGAAAACAAGGATCTTTACATTATGATTCACAACAGTAACAACATTACAGTTATGAAGTAGCAATGAAAATCATTTTATGGTTGGGGGGTCACCACAACATGAGGAACTGTATCAAAGGGTCACAGCGTCAGAAAGCTGACTGCCCTGAGGTCCTCCACATCCTCCTCTTCACCAGGCCTCTTCCCCTTCACCAGGCCTCCTCCCCTGCGTTTTCTCTGCCTCTCCACCCTGACTCCCCTGCTGGTCCTTGTAACACTATTGTATCCACAGGTGGGAGCCCTCAGGACATGGAGAGCCAGCTGGGGAGCCTGGGTATTCCCCCTGGCTGGTTCTCGGGACTTGGGGGTAGCCAGTCCACAGCGAGTGGCTCCTGGGAAGGTCTCTCCGAGTTACCTACTCACGGCTATAAACTAAGACACCAAACACAAGGGAGACCTCGGCCTCCCAGGACCACCCCACCGGGACCTAGTCGGCCCAGTGTAAGTCCCAGAGGCCTGAAGAAGACCCAGCTGTCCATGGCAGGGCCAGAGCCAGGGCTCTAAGCCTTAGATGGGCGAGAGCCAGCAAATGCTTGTGTGTGTCTGTCTTGTGTGTGTTTGATGACATAAACCTCTAGTCACAGCTACTCAGGAGGCTGGGGCAGGAGGGTCACCTGAGCCCAGAAGTTCACAACCAGCCTGGACAACATAGTGAGATTTCCTCCCCTCTGAAAAGAGGGTCGGGGGGAGAGACAGACAAGGAGGGAAGGCAGGAAAGGGGGAGGAGGGATAAAATCTATCTTGTGATTTATTTTTAGTGGCCGTGACATTTTTATTTGGGTGGTGGATAAAGCCGAGAGCCTCGAAGCTTAGGAAATGTCCTGTTGAAATGAAGTCTAAACTTGCATGGGACCAAGTCCGAAGGGGAAGGTCCTGGGACGATCTGAGGGGCGGGGCTGCCTGCACCTGACATTACTCCCAGCAGGTGCCAGGACCCGGGCCTCGACAGGAGAATGGGACAGCCACCCGTCTAGACGAGGGCCTAGAGGACTTTTTCAGCAGAAGGGTCATGGATGAGAGCTCCAGGTAGGAGGCACACTCCCCACCCCCAGCAGGCCACAGGCTCTGCGAGGGGTCCTTTGCCCTCCGGTTCCCAGAGAGGGCCTCTCCAACAGCAGTGCCCCCTAGCCAGTCTCCCTGGGAAATTTCAGTGCGTTCTCATCCTGACCCACCCATCCTCTAGCCCCCAGGTCTCTGACGGGTTGGGGTCTGGGGTTAGGGACAGGTCAGGGGCGACAGGCCCCGGATGGAGTGCCATTTTGCGTGAGACCTGAGTGGTCTCTGTCACTTATGCAGATTCCCCTGGGACTGTACAGATGTGATGTCACTTGGGGAAGCTGAAAGAAGGAATTAGGGGAGGGGACCTGGGAAAATAGAGTCACTTTGGGTTCAAGAGGCCACTGGTGGTTTATGACAGACAGGAAGGAAGGACAGCCTTCCCTGCCTGGGTGCCCAGACTACACTGTAGGAGAGACTAGAGAGAGAGGAACTGGGACACTTGTTACACTTAGAACGGACCGGCACCAGCTCTACCTTAAGCTCTGCATCTGTCACTTGTCACCAACCCACCCCAACTCTGCCCAGCTACCCCCGGACTCTGAGAACCGTGCGGCCTGGCCTCTCGGAGCCGCCCCTGCCTCCACTCCAGAAGAAGAGACGAAGAGGCCTGTTCCACTTCCGCCGGCCCCGAAGCTTCAAGGGGGACCGGGGACCAGGGTCCCCCACGGCTGGACTCCTCCTCCCTCCACCCCCACCTCCACCCCCAACTCAGGAGAGCCCTCCCAGTCCAGACCCCCCAAGCCTTGGCAATAACTCATCTCCTTGTTGGAGCCCCGAGGAGGAGAGCAGTCTTCTTCCTGGATTTGGAGGGGCCCGGGGATCTGCCTTGGGCAGGAAGGTGGTAAGTGGGGCACAAGGGCCACGTTCTCCCTTTCTCCTGGCCTACACGTGGCCCACTCCCTGATCCTAACCCAACTTTCATGGGAGAATACTAGAACTCAGGACTCTGGAGAACATGGGTAATTCAAATTCCCTTTTCTTGAGAATGATCCAGAACATGCTGTGTAAAAATGAAAATGTTAGAAGAATTCCCCCTAGAATCAAGGCAGGGCTTCCCCCAGAGCTGGGGTCTCACTGAGGTGTCAGACCTCCCCATGACGCCCCTGCTGCCTAGAAAGGCTCTCATACCTTTAACAAGAGACTTGGTTCTAGGGCACAGAGAGGTTGGAGCCAGGGGAGGGGGCCCCAGCTCCTGGGACAGTGCAGCAGCCAAGGGTCCAAGGCGTTGCCCTTCCCGGCTTGGGAAGAACCAAAGGTTGGAGCTTTGATGGAAAACGAGAGGTAAGGGGGGCCCAGGTGGCAAATGTAGTGTCCTGTGGGTTCTTCCCAACACCCCACTTCCCTTATCCCTGGTGGTCAGTGGACAAAGAGTGTCTTTCCACATCGTTAACGTGGAATCCAGGACTCAGTTTACCTATTAGAGCAGTGTTTCCCAACCTGTGGGTCGGGGTTGGATGACCCTTTCACAGGGGTCACATATCATATGTTTACATTATGATTCGTAACAGTAGCAAAATTACAGCTATGAAGTAGCAACAAAAATCATTTTATGCTTGGGGGTCAGCACACCATGAGGAACTGTACTAAAGGGTCGCCGCGTTAGGAAGGTTGGGAACCTCTGTTTTAGGGCTCATAAAACAGAGGAAAGGGTCATACAAATACTTGCTTTAGGAATACTCCATTTCCCCAAACTTCTGCGGCTTGTGGTACAGCCTTCGTGACTGACTCGTACCTTATTCATGAGCACCTGGTTAATAGTTCCATGCTGTTTTTATGTAGATCAGCTCACCTTTTCCAGTTTAGTCTGGACCTAACCCTGCTCATCTTTAAGATCACAGGCACTCTGTGAGACTCGTTTTCTTCCACGACGTAACATAAGCCAGCAGTGTCCCTCCTTATGCCCCCAAGGCGACGTGGTGCTGCTCTTTGGAAACAAAGTCTGAGTACCTAGGAGCTCAAAGCCTGTGACTGACACGAGTCTCTAGGGCAGGAGCTCTTTGTCGGCTGCTGTCTCCTGACTCAGCTGTCCTTTTAGGGCGCGGGCCCAGACCAGGAGGACAGCAGCCAGGCTTGGCAGAGACGGCGCTCTTCGGACGATGCGGGTAAAGTCGGCCACCCTCACGAGGCCTCTAGCCCCTCGCTCTTCAACGCCTCCTGATTTCCCCGTCCATTTTCCCTTTCTGCTTACCCTCCCCCCCTCCACCACTCCAGGGCCTGGAGCCTGGAAGCCGCCACCACCTCCGCAAAGCTCCAAGCCGGGCTTCAGCGCCATGCGCCGGGCAGAGGCCACGTGGCACATAGGTATGTAGAGCCCGTTCTTGGCCCACAGCACTGAGAGTTCAAAGAACAAAAAGCTGTGCCCCCCAACGCCCTCCACTGCCCCTCTGCCCCCCGCTGTCCCTCTGCCCCCCGCTGCCCCCCCCTCCGCCCGCCCCTGTACTGAGGAATGTTCAACCAAGGGGAGGCAGGGGGACGTCAACACTGTGAACCTGTTTAAAGGTATTTACAGAGATAAACCCCCCCCCCTCAAAACACGGACCACCCAATCCAAACCCAGGCTATGCATCGCACAGGGTGGCTTCAGCAGGGTTAAGCAGATGTGAGAAATGCTTTGTGGACGCTTCTGAAGAATCCTCTATGACAGGTGGCAGCCCTGGCCGCTGTCAGCTGGGATGCCCTCTGTACATTAGGCCTGGCTCCACACCTTAGCTGGGGGAGAGCCTGAGCTCTGTTTATCAACCTGTCCCCAAGAAGAAGCAGTGGCTCCGCACGGAGGTCAGGGCCTCGAGTATGAGTCCCACTCGGCCACCTGTGACCTCACGCCGGCTCCTTACTTTCTAACTTTGTCACTGGAAGGAGCAGGGAGGAAGGGAATTATTCTTAGTGTCCCATTTTCCTCCTTCTGGGTTCAGAGGACCTGGATTCAGCCGAAGAAAAGCTAGCCTGTCGTCCAGTACCAGCTCAGGTTCCCAAAGGACTAGGACGCTGTGTCAGCACAGACCAGATCTCCCTGGAGACCCAGAAACTCCCCTCCTCGATCCCTTACCTTCTAGGCTAGGGCACAGGAGCAGAGATAAGGATGAGCAGGCAGGTCTGGTTTGAGGGCTACCGACTCCCCATTGTCCCATCCTGCTCCTGTCTGTTCTTCCTCCTCCTCCTCCTCCTCCTCCTCCTCCTCCTGTGGCGCTGCTGCAGAGAGGCTCACCAGTACCCGTATGCCTACCCCATCCTCTGCCCAGAGTTGGGGGCAGCTCTAGTCATTCTCCATCTCTGCCGCAGACCGGATGAAGCATCCAGAGCAGGGCTTCACCCTTCATTTAGTAACCCACGGTGGCCAGGTGCTGTGTTGCTCAATGAGAGACATACACAGCATCTGACAGGTATTCCACATCCGTGCTCACGTGGCTTAAAGTCACGGGCGAGCATGAGAGGGCATCGCTCCTCAAGGCTCCCAACTGTCTAAATCAGACTTGCAGACAACGTTGAAAGTGCCAGGCTGCAGCCTTGGCAGGCCCCTAGGCCACTGCGGCCCTGAGCAGGCAGCTGTGCATGGGGGCCCAGGAGGTCTCTTATTCTGACTCCGCTCCGGTGGGCGAAGGCCTGAGCCCTGCTGGCCCCAGATAATGACCTCAGGGCAGTCCTGGGAACCGGTGGCTGGGACCTGTGAGAATCAAAGAAGACATGGAAGGCAGAGAGGCCGGAGCAAATGAGCTTGGCTGGGGGAAACGTCCTGGCCTTGTGGGGCATCATGGGAAGCATAATAGGAGGGCTCTGGACAGATGCCTTTTCTCTAGCTTCTCCTGTCTTCTTCCACTTCCCAGCTGAGGAGAGTGCCCTCAACCACAGCTGCCAGAGTCCTAGCCCAGCTTCCCAAGATGGAGAGGAAGAAAAGGAGGAACCCTTATTCCCAGAGAGGGTGGTCCCTGCTAGGAATGCCAAGGTGAAGGACGGAAGATGGGTGGGGAGGGCATTTTAAAGGGGTAAAGATACTGAAAGACCAGGAATGTCAGGGTGAAGGCCAGTGGTGGGTGGGGAGGAAGGAGTCAGAGACTAACTGACCCAACGTCTTCCTTACTCTGCTAGCTACAGGAACCCCCCATAGGTCCACGTCCCCCAAAGCCAGTGGCTGTGCCCAGGGGTCGCAGAGCCCCCCAGGTGCCAGGAGGCAGAGAAGAGCCTGAGACTGGCGGGGCTGCCCCAGGAGCCAACAAGCCCCGGCTGAGACTGGGCTCACAACAAGACCAAGAGGAGCCGGAAGTACCAGGTCTGCCACCCTACCTGAGTGGGGGCTTGGGAGAACCCTGGGGCTTTGGGCCCCACATCAGATCCCCTTCCAAGGCATGGAACGGGGATAAGCGGCAACCAGGAGTCGAGGCCTGGATGAGCACCCAACTTATGAGGCCCGCTCGTGTGCCAGGCTTATTGTGACTCCTTTCAGGGCCCTCTGACCTGGGCCGTCGAACAGCCCCCCTGAAACCCAAGAGAACAAGGCGGGCACAGTCCTGCGACAAACTGGAGCCTGACCGAAGACGGCCACCTGACCCTGCAGGTGCCTGTGGTGAGACACCGGGTCCCCTTCCCACGGATCGGTCAGACGTGGCATCCCCTCACGCCCCAGCACTGGGTGGCCGGCTCTCTTGGCCCAGGTAACAGGGTGGTTCCCTGGATTTGTCCCCAGCAGGAACCAGTGAACCAGGAACAGACTGACAGCTGCGGAACCACCCTCCCCAGCCTGCCTCGACATGTGCCTCATAAGGACTCAGGCCCCATCCACCCCTGCTCCCCCATCCCTTGCCAGCCCTCACCCCACAGGGCAGGCACCACTGAGCAGGGGCGGGGACTGGGAGGGAGGGAGCAACCTGAAGCAGGGAGGCCCTCACACCTGCCTTGCCTCACCTCTGTAGAGAGCTTTGGGCAGAGGCTGTCTCTTCCCATGGGGGAGGGTAGATCTCTGCCCCTCTATGCCCAGGGGCTCTCTCCCCACTTGTATAGAATAAAAAAAAAAAAAAAATCACCGTCTGTTTCTAGTCTCTGCCGTCCGACCTATCCACCGTTCCCACCTCCCCTCTTCTCACGAGCCCCCAGGGGTTGGCCACAGTTGGGGGGGGGCAGGAAAGGGCAGCTCACGGGTCTGGGGCTGCAAGAGGAGACGGGGGCTATAGAGCTGCTGACAAAGAACGACAAGTCATGGGTTCTGTGCAGAATCAGGGCCTGTGAAAGCGTACCAGGGGGAGACTGGGAAGCTTGCATGCATGTGTGTGTACATGTGTGCACCTGTGTTCACACCTGTGTTCACTGACATAGTACACGTTGTGTTATCCTGTGGGTACCCTTTTCAGTATTTTATTTTGTGTATACGTATGTGAGCACACCTGTGTCACAGTGTGGCGGTCGGAAGACAGTCTGTGAGAGTCAGTTCTCTCCTACGGTGTGGGTCCCCAGGATCAAACTCAGGTCCTCAGGCTTAGTGGCAGTAGCCTTCTCCTGCTGACCTCCTTTAGACACTCTTTTAAATATATATATATATATATATATATATATATATATATATTACTGTTTTGCCTGAATGTATGTACATATGTATGCATGCATGCATGCATACCTGGCACCTGTGGAAGCTAAAAGAGGGCATCAGATCCCCTGGGACTGAGGTCACAGAGGGTTATAAGCCACCACGTGAGTGCTGGGAATCCAACCCAGGTTCCCTCTAAGAGCAACAAGTGCTCTAAATCACCCAGTCATCACTCCAGCCCCCCCCCCAAATATTACTTTTTTAAATCCTTTGTTTTTATTTTACGTGTCTGGGTGTTGTGCCTCTGTGTGCATTTGTGCACCGGGTGCATGCAGTGCTCACAGAGGCGAAAAGAGGGTGCTGGAGTCCCTAGGGCTGGAGTTACAAATGGTTGTGAGCTGCTGTGTGGGTGGGTGCTGGGAATTGAACCCAGGTCCTTTGGAAGACCAACCAGTGCTCTTAACTGTGGAAGCCTCTCTCCAGCCCTACCTGTGGATACTCTAATAATCAAAAATCTCAACAATAGAGTAGCTTATAGTGAACAGGTCTCTATGACATGAAAAGAAAATGCAACGCTTACGTGAACCACTTCTGGTGTGTCCTAACAAATATGATCTTGAAATTCAGGGACTCCCTCTGTGCTTCTTCCTCCAGCATCCTTCTGGATGCCTTCCCCCACTCATCCAGATTGAACCTTCCTCCCCTCCTTATGCCTCCTTTTCACCCTGAGCATAATTTTGTGTGTCATACTTAACTGCATTTCATATTGTCTTAACCTCTCCTGGGAGGTCCCTCTATTTCATGTGTATCTGTCTCCTGGGGAGCAGGAGCTATGTCTTAACTACCTGAGTAGCCCCGGTGCCTGGTACAATCTCCAGCACTCAGTAGTGCATAAATGGTTTCTACCTTAATAAATGAGCAGCTTAGAGGCTGGAGATTGAAGTTTCCCTGTGAATGCGTTTGAGTACTCCTCCACTCACCACGCCCAAATGTCTCTCCACATGGCTAGTAGCAGTCCAGAAACTGCTCGCTTCCCCTGATCTCACTGAGAATGACTCCTTCTGTTTCCTTAAGCTTTGTGCCTGGTCCAGCCCCTCCCACAAGGATGCAGCCATAAGGGTTGAATCTGGTGGGGGTGGGGGGCGGACCATTGGGTACATTGTGGCCCTAGGAAGATGCCTTGGGAGTCAGTCTTTCAGCAAATGCACTCCGCGTGCAACCCTGCCCTCCAGAGCTGCATGACTGGATTGAAAGTCTGTGTAATGCAATCATGTGCACACTCCGTATTTCCCTAAGAAAGGGTAACTCGGGAACAGGATGTCATTTCCATGAGGTGCAGCGTGGTACACGGTGGGTTTTTTTAAGGAGCATGTGGATATCAACATTCTGTTGTATCCAGGTTAGTGAGAGTAGGTGTCTGTGTGTGTGTCACAAGTACAGCCAGCGTTCTTTTATATGTAGCTACAAATATCCTTAACAAGTATAATACTGTTGAAAGTGCTGTGAGAGTGTGTTTCCCGCTGCGCATCGCTGGGGCTATAACTGTCATGGTGTCACTGTGAGTTTATGTACTGGCGCCTGTGTGTGTCAAGATATGTGTGAGCCTGTGAGTCATGGGTGCGTGTGTTGCCACCCTTCCTCTGTGTGGATGTGTGTGTGTGTGTGTGCATGTACCACTGCAATGTGTGTGTGTCTCTGTGATGCCGGGTGTGGGTGTGATGTGAAGGAGATGTGTGTCACTGTGTCTGTGGGGGTCCTGCTTCGGGCCTGCCCCCAGCCCGCCCTCCTCCCCTAGTTCTGTGGCTCCCTCCCAGCCAGTGTCCCTGCCCCTCCCCTCTTCTCCCTCCCAATCAGTCTGTGCAGGGGGGGGAGCTGGTGCTGCGGCCCCCCTCCTCCCCATCCTGGCCCCATAAATAGCAGCAGAGCCGGAGCCGGAGCTGGCGCCAGTGGCTGGAGCAGCGAGGAAGAGTCGGGGCAGGGCCGGAGAGCTGGAGAGACGAGACCCTCGACCAAGAGTCCAGGTGAGCCCACCCTTCCTCCCTAATCCAGCCTGAGTTCTGCCTTCCCTGGCCCAGACTCCATAGCTCTCATCTCCTCCAGCTCTTAGAGAAGTCACCAGCCAGCCCTACCTGATCCCCCCTCTCCACCACATGCCCCTGCCTACCTCATGGCATCCACAGTAACCGAGAGACTGGTGGCTGGAAGGCAGAGAGAACCCCAAGCCCAGACCCTCCCCTCCCATATCTAAAAAGATAGATATATCATCGGGAGGCTGGTACCCAGCCAGGGAATGGTCCCGGTTCTGACCGAGCTACGAGACTGTCACACCCTCCTGGAGATGGACACAGGACAGAGGGAGGCAGACAGAAGGTGGGGCACTCAGGCACACCGGTGGACACTCACTCAGGAAGCATGGCATGGATCAGAGAGCTTCGCCCTGAGATCGGGACAGGCACAGAGAGGAGACGGGCTGACCAGCCATGAACTGGGGCCGGGGTACCCGTCTGCTGCTGCCTGAGGCTTGGTGACTCTGCTGGGGGAGGGTGATGCGCATGCATCCCACGGGCACCACGGTGGGGGCCATGGCTCCCCCAAAACCCTGTCGCTAAGAGACAGTGCCTGTGTTGCCAAGAAGTGTGAGAGCAGGGGAGGGGTGGGGAGGGAGGGCTGCAGGCTTGTCAGGCGCCTGGGGAGCTCAACACAGAGCCCTCGTGCTGACTCTCACTCCCCAGGCCCACCACCCCTCCATCCCCGTCACCCAACCATACAGTAAGTGGGGGACACTAAGACGATGAGGACAGTTCAGCACAGTGCCTCCCGCTGCCCACCTGTCTCCTCCCATACCCCGTACCCCCCACTGCAGACTTCCTCCCTAAGGCCCACCCTCTTCAGACCTCCAGGGCCCTCTCCGCCCTCTGCCCCACCCCCTTGCCCCACTTCAGCTCTCCAGTGCCAAGACTGAGTAGAGCGCTGCCTGGTCCACCAGTCGGGAAACCGGCAGAAGGTGCTGAGACAGCAGTAAATCAATCGATGGCCTGGGAGCCGAGACTGCCAGGAACCCACTTCATTCCCAGCCCTCCAGCCTTTTCCAGCCCCATCCGTGACACTTAGGCTGGCAGGGTGACAGAAGCAGCGGGGCTCTGGACTCCTGATCTTGGCTGCTCAGAGCTTCAGGGGAGTCACACGGAGGGCAGGGGGAGTGGGCTGCCCTGAGGACCCCAGGACCTCAGGAAGAAGAGCCACGGGGGGGGGGGGTAGATCCAGGACCCCCAAGAGACAAACTCCTCCTCTCCCTGTCCAGGCTGTCTGTTCTGTCCCCACAGTGCCATGTCGGACCCTGAGATGGGATGGGTGCCCGAGCCCCCAGCCATGACCCTGGGGGCCTCCCGAGTGGAGCTGCGGGTATCCTGCCATGGCCTCCTGGACCGAGACACACTTACAAAGCCGCATCCCTGTGTGCTGCTCAAGCTCTACTCTGATGAGCAGTGGGTGGAGGTGAGCGCAGCTGGGTGGGGGTTCCCTTCTACTGACCTTTGCTAAACCCGAGAAAGAAGGAGGGTGAGTGGGCACTGGAAGCCTCGTGGGGGCATGTGAGGATTCCAAAGGACCGTCTCTAGCCATGTGGATAACCTTGAACGTAAGCATGCCATCATTATTAAACCCCAACTATTTTAGGCAGAGGCTTGCAGAGCCCCAGAGGGCTGAAGTCTAGTGGTCCAGCAGCACCCTAAATTCAAAAGTCAGCTAAGAAAGAAAGGAGCCAGTTGATGGGGACAAAAGAACCCAAGGAGAGCCCATGTGGCAGGGGAAGTACAGGGCAGAGACAGGGAGCCTTGGGTCCCAGAGGGTCCTGTCCCTCCTGCTGCAGGTGGAGCGCACCGAGGTGCTTCGCTCCTGTTCAAACCCCGTCTTCTCCCGGGTGCTGGCCGTTGAATACTTTTTTGAAGAGAAGCAGCCCTTGCAATTTCACGTGTTCGATGCTGAGGACGGAGCCACCAGCCCCAGCAGCGACACCTTCCTCGGCTCTACAGAGTGTACCTTGGGCCAGGTCTGCATTCCAGTCTCTGCATACATCACCGTCAGCTTCTGCCTCCAGAAGCCGAACTAAGAGAAAAGAGCCCTGAAGCTAGTTCCGAGTCCGGGGCCCTCCCCACCATCCATGGGGGCCCTCCCTACCATCCATGGGATGTGCACCCTGGGACAAGACACTTAACCCACTTTTCCCATCTCAAGTGAGGGGCGGGTTATTCTCATAGTGCTCCTTCTGTTATTGTTATTGTTACTGTTGTTGTTGCATTTGGTGCTGGGGATTGAGCCACTGAGCTACACTCCCCCCTCCCAGCACCTCTCTCCTAGGCTGCTGTAGAAATTCAATCCACCCTCACCCGATCAAAGGGCCAACCTTATGGACACTCTGTGGGCATTTATCTTCCCGCCCTCACACCCTTGGCCAGGGCAGATGTATTCATTACAGCCAGACTCCCCCCACCTCTGTCTTTAGATTGTGTCCCAGACCAAGGTCACTAAACCATTACTGCTGAAGAATGGGAAGACTGCGGGCAAGTCTACAATCACGGTAGGCCAAGTCACGGTCCCCACCGTTGGGCCCATGTCCCCATGTGGATACCCACTGTGACACTGTGCTGATGACCACCTTCGTTTATGGGAAGCCTATATGGCAGCCCTTCTAGTGGGGAGAAAATTCTTCACACTGTGTCCTCTCTGACAGATTGTAGCTGAGGAGGTGTCGGGCACCAACGACTACGTGCAGCTTACCTTCAGAGCCCATAAGCTGGACAACAAGGTTGGAACCCCAGAGTCCAGGCATCCGTGCCCCGCTAGAGAGCCACAGGCATCCCACCACAGGCAGACTCCAGGGTCCCAGGCCAATTCTCTTCTCAGTGTTACTCCCGCCCCGTCCTCCTCACAGATCTCACCAGACTCATGAACCCTTTTCCCTGCATCTCCAGGATCTCTTCAGCAAGTCTGACCCCTTCATGGAGATCTATAAGACCAATGGGGACCAGAGTGACCAGTTGGTCTGGAGAACCGAGGTCGGTACACAGGGCCGTGGGATGGCAGTGGGCAGATTTTAGTCAAGAGACACAGACAGGAAGTGACAAGGTCCCCCCTGCCTCTCCAAGGTGGTGAAAAACAACCTGAACCCCAGCTGGGATCCCTTCCGCCTGTCCTTACACTCACTGTGCAGCTGTGACGTCCACCGGCCTCTCAAGGTAAAGCCCCAGGGAAATAAGGGGGCAGCCAGTCTGCTGTCTGAGACCTTCCCCAGGAGGCTGCAGGCCTCTTCCCCCTCCCTCCTGTGATAAGCACACCTCTCTGTGGGATAAATAACAGCTCAGCTCAGTGTTAAGTTCCCATGGAGGAGCCTTTATCTGAGGCCAAACTTCCTGCTAGAGACTGAGCTAAAGAGTGATGTTTAGCAGGTGGATTCTGGGTAGGTTAAGGACTTGTATTTGGGCCTGGACACTGTGAGGTCCCTAAGTCAGACACCTTTGCAGCCGCTACAGAACATCCCTAACCCTGACACACACACCCCACCCCCCC